CTCCTTCTCTTGTTACATTGCCAGCATGCTCCAAGCTACGCACTAAGTCATTTGTTTTCAGGACAGTGTCTTTTGTCTCCCCTAAGTGTAAGAGCCAGAGAGGAAAGTGTAGGGCCTCCATTTTCAGTGTATGCATAACCTCTGAGCATCCAGTCCCAATCTCCTTCAATATTTGATAACATTCAACACACCCCACACGATTTGCATTGTTCCAGAACAGGGGACACAAAAGGGATCCAGACAGCTGTGTGCCTTTTCTAAAACACATTTTTTCTAACTCTCAAGAACATTATACCAAATTCTGCACCCGTTCAGCGATCTTTATTCTTGATAGACTTGACCTTCTGTGAGCTCCACTCTTCTCTCACACTGCAACCTCCAGTCTTTCGTTTTCACCCTCGAAACACTATTTTGTCTGTACTTTGAAGCTGCACTCATTTTTTCTTACAGATTTCCTGTGACTTAGCCTTGGTTGTTTTCTTCTGTCAAGACAGCAACCTAGTGACAAATAAGATGGGTTCCAATACATCCAGCGACAGGAATGTATTGAAGATTTAATAGTGCAGATAAGAAATGAACAGAACACAAACACCTTTGCCTTCATGAAATTTACCTAGAAGTTTGTTATGTCTACGCAGTTTTCACTGCCATTTGGGTGACTATGTGTAAGGGACTAGAAAATGTTCCAAATTTATTAGGAAATCGTTGTCAGTACAGACCTGGCCATGCCAGGGAGGTACATTCCACATGATGTTATATCACAAGCTAACTCAATAATAAAAGGGCAAGTGAAAATCTTAACCAGAACCAAAAATTCATAAATATAATCCTAGTGAGCCATTTTCAATGATTTTATAATTTTATTATTTAACTGCAAATTATGAAATGTAATAAAAATGTGAAGGTGGGAAATATTAGAAATAAGGTAGAAATCAACATTTAAAATTAAATATATAACAAGATGACATTAACTTGTCTCCCTATTCGTATTCATGTCCCGGAGTCTTGGGTATTAAGCTCATAAGGTTTGTCTTCTCTCTCACAATTAATTGTGCTTTATTCTCAGTGCAATGCTCTTACTGTTTCCAGAACTGACTTAAAAAAAAAAAAAAAAACTTTTCTTTTTTGATATCTAATTTTCTTGACTCATCTTTGCCAGGGATCATTTTATTTCCTACTAGAAATTAGTTGAGGAGGGGCCTCCCTGGTGGCACAAGGGGTTAAGTCTCATCTCTATCACTGGTCTGAGTTGGATCCCCAGCCCCGGGGCTACCCATATGGCACAGCAGACCTCTCCCTTCCGGCTCACTGCTCCCCTCAGCAGTGTATTTCGGTCAGTCTGCCTGTTCTGCTCCCCCACTCTATCTCTGGTGAATCCTCTCGCCCCCTGCACCTCTGGCCTACACCCCACTTCTTCTATACATAAATAAATATTTTTTAAAAAAGAAACAAATCAGTTGAGGAACTCCAGACCAGAACATTGCCATATTCAGGGTCTGTTTATCATTTTCTGTGGTAATATATGTGGCTATTTTACCCATTTCCAATTTCTTTCCTTAGAATATCAAAATCTGTGTATTCATTTATTAATTTAGCATATATTAATTTCCCAGTGTATGCTGTGTACCTTGGAAATAGAAAGTGATAAACAGGTGGTATATTAGGAATAAAGAGCAGTTTTACAAAAGCATATTTTATAATAAAATGCAATTAATTGTAATAGGGTTAAGTGCGGGGTTGCAGAGTTGGGGAAAATTGAGTTTGGGATGGAATATGAAGAAGGATGGTTTTAAAATTATTTCAACTAGTTTACTCTGTAGGTTTGGGTGTACCATAAACAGATGCTATAACACAAATCTACACAATTTTTCCCCAAATCAGTTATTCTACTTATAAAACGAGCGTTTTTTTTTTAATGTAGAAGGAAAAAAATTTACATCTTATTTTTGCCCCGAGCTCGTTAAAAAGGAAGGACAATGAGCGTGAGCATCACCATGGAAACCAGGGCACTGTGGCTGCGCAGTGAACTTGTCCAGGACCAGGTGGCCCCAATCCCCTCCCGGAGGCCATCTTGCTGAGCCCGCCTCCTTGAGTGTGTAAGCTGGGATGATGCTCTCCCTGCTTTGCTAGTTTCTCCCAGGGCAATATCGCCTCTAAAATAGTTCAGCATCACTTGTAATCAGGAAAATGCAAATCAAAACTACCATGAGATACCATCTTACACCAGAGAGAATGGCACATATTAAAAAAACTAGCAACAACAAATGTTGGCGAGGATGTGGAGAAAAGGAACTCTCCAGCACTGCTGGTGGGAGTGCAAACTGGTCCAGCCACTGTGGAGAGCTGTGTGGAAATTCCTCAACCTGCTAAAGATGGAGCTTCCATAGGATCCAGCAATTCCACTCCTAGGTATTTACCCAAAGGACACAGAAACGTTAATTCCAAACATTAATTCCACCTGCACCCCTATGTTTATAGCAGCACTATTTACAATAGCTAAGCTTTGGAAACAGCCCAAATGCCCAAAAATAGATGACTGGATCAAGAAGATGTGGTCCATATACACCATGGAATATTACTCAGCAATCAAAAAAGATAAACTTATACAGTTTGCAGCAACGTGGATGGAGCTAGAAGGGATCATGCTCAGCGAAATAAGCCAGAAAGAAAAAGAAAAATACCGGATGGTCTCACTCATAGCAGGAATCTAGAAAACATAAATAAGAGACCAGGAAAAAGATTAATTGTAATAAAGTAAAAATCAAAATCAATAGGAAACTATAAACCAGAGACACACTGAGGGGGGCGGGAGGAGGGATTGGGGTCAGGATAAGCAGGGTGGGAATTGTACGGGGAATATAGCCAGGATGAAAATGCATACATTGTGCAAAAATGAAAAATCATGTAAAAATATATAAAATACTACTTCTGGTCTTCCTTTTCAGCTCATACTGAATTGGCGACGCTGCCTGGAGCCACAACACTGGCGGCTGCTGCGGAAGCGAGGGCCTCGGGCCTGAATCACTGAAGGATCCCCAGTGGGGAGCCACCTTGCCCTGTCCTCGCTGGCCTTGACAGTGGACAGCCTGCAGAGGGACCAATGGCTTTTGCTTGGGGGTACCGCGCCCTTTCCTGAACTTCCTTTCCCTTTGGGTTTTTCTGCCCTCCCCCCTCTTAATCATTTTGCTTTTTCTCGCAGTGGCGTGGTGGTTTGACCAGTGCTAAGCCCGCCCTGCACAGGCCGCAGCGGCTCTTCCAGTCAGTTCCCTGCACCTAATACCCTGCCTTAAAGGAGGCCTGGGCTTTGCTATTTACTTCAACTTTCTAATCTTATACACAAGAAAAATACGACACAAAGGTATGTGGCCACACTAAACGGATCCAGAGCCAAGCCCTAAGCCAACCCCTAACCCTCGGTGTTCCCTCGTGCGCCCCCAACCTCTCTAGGACAGAGGAGCACACCGTCCAGCCAGAATTCCATCTGGAAGTTTCTTTAGGATGAATGGGAAAAGTCTCAAGTTTCAGCAAAATAAAAATGTCAACAAGCCTTTCACCTCCATAAAGTAAGAATAGACAACACATTTATAGGATACCTGTGTAAGTGTGTGTGTGTGTGTGAGTGTGTGTGGCCTTAACCCAGATCTGACATCTGCCTAATCAGTCAATTCTTCCTGAAGAGTCTCCTAAGTCCACACCTGACCACCTGCCTTCTGGCTTAAGTCCACACCCAGCCCCTGGCAAGGTGCCTGGAACTGCTGAATTTATTCAAATTGACCAGATCCTAAATTTGTTTGTCCTGACTCACTCTTTCCTAAGGAAGCTGCAATGGGGTGCTTGTGTCCAGCTCCCTCCCCTCCTGCCTGGTGACTCAGCTCACGGATACTCTGAGCAGTTTCTTAGGTCTCCCCAGGGATCTGGGACTCACCAAATCACCAAACTTTCAGCCTCTGCTTCTCTGCCCAGAGGGGAGAACCCAGATTGCTGGCCTAGCTCCCTCACAGCGTTGTGGTTAAAACAGCTAAGCACGTTGCTCTTTGCAGTGTGCAATCTGACAGCCTAACATGTATGTTAACATATTTGAGAACACATGTGGTTAAGATACAGGTTTACTTCACTTGGCACAAATAAAGATTGTCAAAGTTTTACCATAACTTTTACAAGCCCCTTTGACGGCCTGTGGGCTAATACAGCCATCTGGTGGACAAATAAATAAATGCAAGGAGCTTTATATTAGAAAAGTAGTAAAGGGATTTAATCATTTTTTCATGGTGAAGTCACAGTAAATGGCATATTCTGTTGAAACTATAAAAAAACAGTTCGTAAGAGCCATTATATACAATTTCCTCCTATATATATATCCAACAATGTCTGCTAATAAGTAGGACCTGATCCTTTTTCTGTCGTTTATGCAGGGTAAACTTAAGCAAATTGCTTAATTTCTCTGAGTCTCAGACAATTTACATCCATAATATCAGCTAATTCTCACAAGAGAACACTGCATGGAATATATTCATATTCCCATCTTTTTAATGAGAAATCAAATTCTGTGACTTCAAACAAATTAGAAACTCACAGTAGTTTGCTTTCCCCTGAATATTATTTCATATATTAGAATTTTGGTTAAATGGCACACAGAAAACCTTGGTCTTCTGTTGCCTTTGAAAATTTTATAAGCACAAAAAAATTGCTATTTCATTTTTTTATTTTACACTAAAAAACTTCGAGCAAAGATGTCACCAAATTAAACATGAGCTCCATTTGGACATAGGGTAGATCATGAACCAGTATAAGGGCTTGTAGGGAAAACACGACATTTTGTTAGAAACAGAAGGAAAAGGAAAGAAAAGAGTGGGGAACAGCTATTTTCTCTGGCGTGGACAGAGCTTTGGAGATTATTTGAGTAAGTGGAACTTAAACAGATCTTTGTGGACGTACGCTAGGGCTGCACTCAAAGAAAACCACTGAAAGTTGAAAATATTGCAAGTTGAAAATGCATTGAAGTGTTTGCTTCAGCAGCACATGTGCTAAAATTGTAACAATACAGAGAAGATTAGCATGGCCCCTGTGCAAGGATGACATGCAAATTCCTGAAGCATTCCATGTATTTAATCCTATAGTGTGAAAAAATAAACACGTGTGTTAAATAATAATAATAAAGATGCATTTAATACAGCTGTCCTCGCTTAGCCTAATGTAACTTAAACATACTCAGAACTTTCATTTTAGCCCAATGGTAGGCAACATCGTCCAACACGTCCATTTTATACTAAAGTGTTAAAGCATCTCAGACATAGATGCTTTGTAAACATGTTGGAGTGAGAAAACACAAAACACAGCATCTGAAAGAAAAATGCTGGCAACTTGGTGCACTGCAGAGTGAGGGATGTTTAGGCTCTTGGTGTGCAGCTGTGGAGCTGTGCCCCTCATCACTGCCAGCATCACAAAAAGATCTCACCAAGTAGGGCTGGCCCGGGAAAAGATGAAAATCAAATTCCAAACACAGCTTCCAGTTTCTAGTGTCACTTTTGCACCATCAAAAAGTGAAAAAAGGGGCCTCCCTGGTGGCGCAAGGGGTTAAGCACCGCACTATGAAGCAATCCACAGCCTCTGCTGCATGAGTTTGATCCATGGCCGGCCAGGGAGCACCCCACATGGCACAGCAGACCTCTCCTGTCTCGCCCGCTGCTCCCCTCAGCAATGTATTTCAGTCAGTCTGCCTGTTCTGCTTCCCACTCTGTCTCTGGTGGATCCTCTCACACACCCTGGCCCCTGCATCTCTGGCCTATACCCCAGCTCTTGTATGCATAAATAAATAAATCTTTAAAGAAAATTAAAAAATAAATGTTCACCTTAGGGCCTCCCTGGTGGTGCAAGGGGTTAAAACGCAATCTATGAAGCTGTCTGCAGCCACTGCAGCACCAGTTCGATCCCTGGCCTGCCAGGGAGCTACTGACATGCCCCAGCAGACCTCTCCTGTCTCGCCTACTGCTCCCCTCAGCAGTGTATTTCGGTCCATCTGCCTGTTCTGTTCCCCACTCTGTCTCTGGTGGATCCTCCCACCCCCCCATACCTCTGGTCTGTACCCCGGTTCTTGTATGCATAAATAAATAAATCTTTTTTAAAAAAAGTGAAAAAAATCGTTACGTTGAACCACTGCCAGACAGGAACTGATTATGGACTGTCTCCTTCAGCGTGCTATTTCACTTCTCAGTGGGAAGAGCACAGACACTGTCCCTCTGGTTCCCCTCAATCACCACTGAGCCTTGCACTGTGACTCAGCGAAATCCCCACTTTGCATAACATCTCACTTTTTTAAAATTCAGGTTGCTTGAAGGATAATTCACACAAAGTACAATTCACTCTTCTAGATGTTTATTTCTACTGGTTTTATCAAATATATAAAGCTGCGTAACCACTCGAGAGAAGGAATATTTCCACTATCGCAAATTTTTCTTAAACTATCATAGGCAGCGTCTTCTGCACACCCCGTAGGTCCTGGAAACCACTGGTACGTTTTTTGTTGTCATTTTGTTTTGGTTTTTTCTTTTCTAAAATGGTGCATCGGCTGCAGACATAACCATCCGAATACTCCCATAGCTCATCCAAAACATCACGTTCAAATTAAAGAGAATACAAATCTTAACAATATTGAGTTTTTCTCTCCATGAACATGGTATCTCACATTTTATTTAGATATTCTTTGATATTTTTCATCTGAATTTTACAAATTTTCATATATACATCTTGAACATATTTTCTTAAATATATACCTATGTATCTCACCTTTTTGGGGGCTAATATAAACGGTACTGCATTTTTATTTTCAAATCCCAAAACTTCTTTGCTAGCACATAGTAAAGTCAATACCAATTGACTTTGGTATCATAAAATTGTATCTTGAAACCTTGTTATAATCTCTTATTAGTTTCAGGAGTCTTGTTTGTTGGTTTTAGTCTAGTCTTTAAGGATTTTTTTTTTCATAAACAATAAATCATGCCATCTACAAACACAAGCAGCTGTATTTCTTTGCTCTCAATCATTATGCCTTTTACAACCTTTTCCTATCTGATTGTTCTGGCTATTATTTGTAGTCTAATAAAAAATAGGAATGATAAGAGAAAGTATCCAAGCTGTGTTCCCCATCTCAGGAAGAAAACATTTAGTGTTTCACAATTAAATATGACAGCAGTTGTATATTTTTAAATAAAATTTATTTTTAAACCAGTTTTAGTTTCACAGAAAAATTGAGTAGAAAATACAGAAAGTTTTATATGTCCTACCCTCCCAAACATGCACATCCTCCCCAACTACAAATGAGAAATCCATATCAATACATTGATCTCTCCCAAAGCCCATGGCTTACATTATGATTCCTTCTTGGTGCTGTACATTCAAATGGTGCATTTTGAAAACCAGCCAAGGAGAGAGCCTGGACATTTCCCCACTGATAGTCACAATAGCTCTATCTGAAAACCTTATAAAATCCTTTACCTGCTTAATTGTTTCAAGGTATGGGTTTTGTGACTTTTTCCTGCTGTGCAACAGTAAAAAGAGAAGTCTTTTATTTCTCCTGATTTCCTTCAACAACATTGGCCTTTTAAGAGAGTCTAGACCAGTTATTTTATAGAGTAGGAACAGTGTGGTTTTTAGTGCTGTTTTCTTAGAAGTCTGCAAATCCCACAAGGTGGTATAACCCTTCAGTGGAATCGGTTAGGCACAAAAATGATTAGTATCCATTCTTGAGAGGGCTCATTGTGCTGAATTATGCAGACTCACTCAACATGGCTGCCTTGCTGTGGCTCTTTTACAAAATATCGCTATAGGGCCTCCCTGGTGGCAAAAGGGGTTAAGACACAACCTATGATGCTATCAGCAGCCACTGCAGCATGAGTTTGATCCCCACCCAGCCGGCCAGGGAGCTACCACATGGTGCAGCAGACCTCTCCTGACTCGCCCACTGCTCCCTCAGCAGTTTATTTCAGTAGATCCGCTGTTCTGCTCCCCGCTCTGTCACTGGTGAATCCTCTCATTCCCTGCGCTTCTGGCCAGTACCCTAGCTCTTGTATGCATAAATAAATAAATGTTTAAAAAATAATAATAATAATAAATTAAATATCACGATAACTTTCTCTTCATTTCTTATCACAAACTCCACTAGTCAAAGCTTTTGGTTGTACCAGGTTTTAACCGAAGTTATTTTGGGTAAGATGGAAAAATTATCACAGATTAGAACTATTTTAAATTGCATGTGAAATATCACTGTTCCTGTAAATTCATGGGTAGTCTCCTCCATGATGAGCTGCTGGGGGAATATGGTCTTCCCTGGCTTCCTGCCTCTGTTAAGTCCCCACTTCCCCTGCCCACTGTCACCTCCTTTTCTCTTCTCCCCCTCTCTTCTCCTCTCTCACGGTCTAGATGCATAAGCAGAACACAACTTCAAATTCCCTTTTGCTTTATTTAAAAGGAAAATTTGCCCTTCATCTAATCCTATCTTACCTAGTGAAACATCACAAGTTCCCACGTTCAAGAGTTAGAGAAACTGGGCCTCCCCTGGTGGCGCAGTGGTTGAGTGCTGGGTTGCGAGGCTGCCCGCAGCCTCTGCAGCACCAGTTTGATCCCCGGCCACCGGCGAGGGTCCCACCAAAAAAAAAAAAAGAGTTAGAGAAACTAAGTAGTTTTCTGAAATAAAGAAAATCTTCCACCATCCTTCTACATTAATGACTCAAATTGAGTTAGCGCTCATTTCGTTTCCCCCCGACTCTCATGTACTCCCAGGTGAAACATGTTGAAGAAAAGTGGACTCACAGACAGTAACCACATCCAGAACAGGTGCTCTAACAAATAACCAGTAAAATCAAACACTGATGACCTTAAGGGTGCAGGGATGTGAGTTCAAGTTCAGAACGCAGCCTGGAAAGGGTGCTTTGCAGAAGCAAGCCTCTTCTGGCAGCTCTCAGCTCCCTGTAGGCCGTGCAATCCTCAGGACTCTCAGAAGGAATGCCCAGCCATTTGCTGCCACAAATGCTCCCCATTTGACTCACGCTGCCCTTCCCAACAAGAATGTCCTTCCAACTGAGAAAGAACACAAGGAAAATTCGGAAATGAGCTGCAAGTGGTGAAAAACTTCATGTCAAATGGAAAAATACATCATTTTGCTGCTATGTGGTTAGCTTTTTCAATAATTAAATGTACATAAATTAAAAATAATATAAAGAAAAGGAAAACGTTCTGTTAAATAAATTTGCTGTTAACGCTGCCCAAAAGAGTAGGCAATCACACTGAATAATTTCTAAGCGTCAAAAGCTTATCTCTGTGGTTAAATACCCTGAGTAGACACCACTGCTCCACCTAAGCCCATTCATACAATTACTTTCAGCAGGTCCCATTGGGACTGATTCCTTGTTACCAATAGCTACATCTCTTTGCCTGAGGGTTTTGTGCTGCTGGAGCCTGATTTTTTTTTTTAAGATTTATATATTTATGCATACAAGAACTGGGGTGCAGGTCAGAAGTATGGGGAGTGATAGGATTCACCAGAAACAGAGTAGGAAACAGCTGATTTGTTTTGCATCCAGAGCCAGACATGCTGGGGAGTTAACCTTGTGCAGAGAAGCCCTCACCAAGGATTGCGGACTTTCATACTGTCCCGGAGAGATTAAGCTCAGTTCACACCCTTGATGACTAGATTAGCAAGGCACCTTTTATTAGCTACCCCCTGAACACCCTTACAGTATCCCCTTCACATCCCACATAAACTCAAATACTGTTCTCAGAGTCTGTTTCTGAACCTACATAAATTATATACGCTATACTTTTAGAGGCTGAATGCTTTAAAAATATTTATGCTTATGTAGTGTAAACACGGGTCTGCTCAGATCTTTAGATCATTCTTCAAAATATAAATTAAATAGTCCCCTTAAGCAGCTAAATAAATTCTCTCCTGGAAATAATTGAAACACTTTTTACTTTCATTTTCTTGGAAGGAAAAGCAACATAAACCAAATTAATGTTTTCATTATAATATTAACATAAAATGAGTCACGTTATATTTTATACTTTTTCAAGGATTAATAACCACAGCACAATTTATGTCTTCTGATATAATTT